TGACGTCAGCGACGCGGTTTAATCGGGCGCGCTTTAGTCGAGCACGGTTTTGTCGTGCCACGATTTTGAGGAACTGGCCATTATTTGAACGCATTATTTGATCAAAGCATGACTTTTTCCAACTGAATTGATCGTCTTAAGCTTCAAATCACAACAATTAAATCTAGGTTTCCTACTGGCAGATTTGACTACAGCACCTACTGTAGTAACAAAACAGTAGCTTCCTATTCATCCGAACTTGAGTACATTTGAGTAATCATTTCTTTCTTGACTTTTTAACTTTCCAGGTCAAAACCTATTTCTTCGCCGGTGATCATCCAATTTGGACACGCAGAGACTCTTCAGCCACTTCTCTCACTCATGGGCTATTTTAAAGACAAAGTGCCTCTTAACGCCAGCAACTATCGCCATCAGTCGAAACGCAAGTTCCGTACCGGCCGTATCGTCCCTTATGCCGCCAACCTGTTATTTGTGCTTTATCATTGTGAGCAGGCTAAGTCTCCTAAAGACGAGTATAAGGTTCAGATTCTTCTCAACGAGAAACTCCTGCCTTTTACGTACTCGGGGAAAAAAGTTTCTTTGTACAGCAAACTGAAAAACCATTACCAATTTTCCCTTCAGAATTGTGAGTTTGCCAAAGTGTGCAGTATCGATGAAAAATGTCCTCGCATTAATTCGTGATAAAGGAACATCAAAAAGATCACCAATGTTTCGGCGTCTGCATATTTTTTGGCAAATAGCAATATTTTTGTTTGGGGTTGTTAAGACTTGGTGCACTGCCGATGCTGCGGTGTTTAAAAAAAGTCCTTAAATGTACATTTGCAATTTTTAATAGCGGCATCAAACTTGGAGCCTTGAAAGAAAGGCATTACCGGATATTTCCAAAGCTTGAAACAAACAGATGAAGTTGCTCTGTTCATGAAAAATAACTCACTCTCTCTCTCTCTCTCCCGTTCCTAAATCAGGAACGATTGAAAAGTAATGATGTGCTCTCCCACATTCAGCGTACTCCATTGTGCTGGCTGCGATCTACTGTGAATAGTTCCAGAGTTAATGAAAATGAAAAATGGTTGCTGGAATGCTACCTTCTAAAAAAAGCGGGGGGGGGGGTGGATTTCAACAAATATTTCTTACTTTCACTTCCAAGGGACTTTCACGTATTCCTGTTAATCTCAGGGGATTTTTGAGGCCTTGTGAATTGCCTATTGCCTATTTATTTCTCTGTATTCCATTTCAAAGGTTGAGCATACATTTGGGCAGTACAGTGGTAATTTATTTCTAATGGTAAGACTTTATCCAGTAATAATGTTCATCTTCTAGAACCAGAAAAAGAAGGCTTGTGAACTTGCCATTTGGACAAAGGCCCTTTCAGTATTTAACTATTCCAATTGTCTTTCTTCTGTATTCATATTGAAGGTGAAGATTTAGAGGATTTCATTCCAGATCCAAAAAGATAAAGTCATTAGTGTGCATCCAAAACCTGAAAAATGACCTGGAATTGAATCTGTTTTAGGTGTGAAAGAGAGGAATGAGAAATGTCTTACCATTCTAACTCGGAAACATCATTTCAAACTTCCAAATACAACATCAGCCTTTTGAAATAAAATCTATTTTGCTTGTGTATCTCTGCATTTCAACCTCATAATGTTAGGGAACAAATACAAGTTAAGACTGCCCGCAATCCAACTCCTGTTTAAAGAGCAGATTATCCTGCATGTTATAAAGACAGTATGTGGCAGTGATGGCGAGCCTTTTCAGCACTGAATACCAAAAAGGGAGAGAGACAGCATGCGCGCATTCGTCGGGGACACAATCCGGAAGAGGAATTGCCCAGGGGGAATATGCGTGCTGGGAAATGAACTTCCGCTTTCCAGCGCATGCACTTCCGCTTTCCGTATGCAACAATCAGCTGGCTGATGCACATGCCAGAAAAAAGGAGACCAGCTCTTTGGTTTCCGTCACTGCCCCACGTGTGAAGGCCAGCTGATCGTCGCGTGCTCATGCAGTGCCAGAAATCCAGAAGAATAGGCAATGCAGCATGTGCCAGGCAACTTGGCTCTGCATGCCACTTCGGGCACGCATGCCATAGGTTCACCATCACAGGTATATGGTGTTTTTGTGAAAATTATTAATCTTTAAAAGATATATATATATATATTCTGAGGTTTTCGCGGGTGTTAGTATGTAGGTCTCTAATTATTCAGGTTTTCTCCCCCGTAAAATTGGAGATGTCTTGGCGACGTTTCGACGAAGTCTCATTCGTCATCTTCAGGCTACTTCAGGCTTGGTGCTTCCAGGAGCAATGTGAGATCTCAGCTG